AGCCCCACAGTTCCCTTTTTCTAAGTAATATGATATAGAGAGGAGAACATACTTAATTTAATAGCCATTCAGTAAGAACTTCTCTTATTGTAAAACATAATGTGAAAAGGACAGAGGATGATTTAAAGGTCCTTGAGAAGCCTGCAGTTTAGCGCCTGTGTAAGGAAATAAATCAGTAAGAATGAAACTAATGCAAATTGGGTAAGTACTAAAATGAAAGTCTAAGAGGACATGGTGGTGCACACCTGTAATCCCTGCACTAAGTAGGTCAAAGCAGGAGGATAGTGAGCTCAAGACCAGTCTGAGCTACATAGCTAGTTCAAGACCAGCCTGGATTAGATAGTGACACCCTTTCTCCAATACTCCAAATCATATATTCACCTATGTATCCATCTATCTATCTATATTTCTACATATAATATTTATATGTAGAATACACCTTCTAAAAGCAAGAACAAAATTTAATTATGTTCCTTAAAGAAGTTCGCTCTTACTAAAGAATGTGCCCATATTCATGTCTTTTACAAAGATATATTCTAAACTTTTTTTATCAGAGGAAATATATAGACAGAAAAGTAAAAAGTCAAAAGTGTGACGGTAAATGAACTCCAATCAAGTGAACACAGCATTGTAACAGAGGTAAAGAATGCTATCAGCACCCTACACAATTCCCTTGAAACCCCTTCTTATCTCTTTTTTGAAGAGTTGCTACTGATCTGATTTCTAACCTCACACATTAGTTTTGTCTGATTTTGAAATGTACATGTGTGGAATCACACAGTGTGAAAACATTTTGCATCCGAATTCTTTCTCTGACCCTTATGACTTTAAGATTCACCCATGTTTTCTGTACAGCAGAGTTTTCTTATTCTTGTTGTTATAGAGTATTCCAAAGCTTGCCTACACAACATATTGTTGACGGCTTGTCTTCGGCGCATGTTTATGACTCCATTGTGCATGCACTGAGAATAAAGTTGTGTTGAGGAAAGTGGTTTTCACCAACTCACATTATTACCAACAGTGTGAGGATATTTCTCCCGCTCCATATCCTCTCTTATACGGTCTACAATAGTCGCCTTAGTTATTCCGATTGGTAAACAGCAGTAGCTCATTGTGCTTCTAGTTTGAGCTCCATCTCATACATCAGCTGGCCATTGGTATATTCTGTTCTGCAATTCCTGTTAGTCTTCTGCCTGTTTTATTAGTCTAGCTGGCTTTTATGTCTGAATGTTAGGAAGACTTCATAAATTCTGAATATGAGTCCCTTGCCAGACATATAACTTGCAAATGTCTCCTATTGCTATGTGTTCTGTTGTTTCACACTCTGAAAGCTGCTTTCTGATGACTACAAGTATTTAATTGTTTTAACTGGCACATGTTAATTTAAAGAATAATGGATTTCATTGTGACATTGGCATACATGCATATAACATAATTTGATCCTTCCTTCTTCCATTATTTTCTGTTTTTTTCTTCTATCCCCTCCCCTTGACCTCTGTCCTCTTCTCAAACAGTATCTGGAAATAGTTAATTTTGATGTAGTCCAATTAATCAGTATTTCCCAATGAAAGTTTTTCTATATCCTATACATTTGTTTGCCTCAAACCAAGCATCATATAGTGTTTGATGCAGTAAGCACACAGGCAGCTATTTTGTGACTTCTGTTAGGCAATTAGCAAGAAGACTGAAGTGCTTTTAGAAGAGAAATAGAATTAACATTGTGCTTTAGATGTAGAACAGTGGCTTTGGCTGCAATGGTTGTAGGGCAGAGACTTATAGCAAGTAGATCAGTTAGAGACTATTGCATTCAATTGTGTGATAAATAAGGCTACAGGCTAAGACAATAGCAGGGACTTAGGGAGGAGAGAACAAATTGTAGAAAATTTTAGAAGAATTAATAGACTTTCATAGTGACTAAGGAATAGCAGAAGATGAAATCATGAATGAGTTCTGGGTATCTGGCTCAAGTGATTAGTTATATATCAGTGTCATTAAGTAAGACAATCTTATATTCTGAAAAGCAGAATAGGAGATATTTTACTTCGGGCCAAATTGAGTTTGAAATGCCTGTGATATTTGTGTGTGCAGTTATCTTGTTTATGTTCAATATAACAATCTAAATTATTGGTTTTTTCTTATTTTCTATTTTTAAAAACATGTATCAAATTACCACAAAAACCCAAAATGCTTCTGCCTCACTTTTCTAGTTCTCCTTAGTGAAAGATGTAAAATGAGTGATAGCTCACTGTCCCCAAACACTCTGCTTAATTGTCATTCCTGGTGCCCAGGTTTTCCACTCCCACGTAGACTTTTCTCATGGGTGATCAGGTGTAGCACCCATGGTTCCACAGTCAGTCCTAAGTATATGCAGTTTCTCAGGTTCAGTCATCAATAACCTTGGTTATTTCCATGCACTAGGAGACCGTGCACCTCATTCTCTTGGTTTTGTGTGCTCTGCTCCCTGGTTAATGTTGTAGCTCCATCTAGGCCTACATTTTCTCTGTAAAGTATTCCCATATGATTCATCATCTGGATTGTTCTTAGCTTCTCTTCTAGGGATTAGGGTTCTCTCACATTTTTGCAGACTTTTTAAGCAGTAAAAACAGAATATTTGCTTCTATATGGATCCCTTACTACTATTCCCTGCCTTCTACTTATGAACTCCAATGTTGAGTGTTTAATGACTTTTATGTGGAACTCATTTCACCAATTATTTATGTTACTTGCTTGGATCCTTTAGGCATTTCAGTTTGTTACTCCAAGTCCTATTCTTAAAACCAAAGCTGTAGCCTAGACCATAAATTTAGAGGAAACTGTCTAGCATCATTAGCACATGAGTTCTCCAGTTGCTAAGTTAATGTTGTTACACTGAGTGGAAACAGATTTCCTGATGAAGCTGCACAGAGGAAGGAGTCAGACTCAATTAGTTCTGGGAAAATGGTCATCCTCCAGAGAAAACTAGTGATCTATGTAGTCTCAGAAAGTTAATTTCTTGCCGTAATAAAAATAAATGTATTTCTTGACACATTGAAAAATTACAGAAAATGAGGAAAAATAAGGGTCTCAGAAGGATCCAAATATCCTTATGTAGGAATATTTTTGTGTAAATTGTTGGGGAAAAATGAAAAATAGTTGCTTATACGTTTAGGGTTGTGACACCATGGCTAGGATATAGTATAGTAAGTACAATACCTTTAAGACCTCCCAAGGAAATGATACCCGTCACCCTATTCCAAGCGCCACCAGGAATGCCAGCACACTTCCCTGTGATGCTGACACACAAGGATAACCAATAGCATCCTCCTGAAGTGCTAGGGTGCAGAGTCACTGAAGAGTCCATACAGGTCAGACCCAGCCCAACCCTAGAGATGCTCTTCACCTGCCCTAGAGGTGAGAGTCCTTGCCTGCCAACTCAGCAGTCTCGACAAGATGAATTAACCCACATATTTAAAAAATATTAAAATTATAAAATTCTTCTATGGAGCTTTCATTTTTAGTTGTCTGAGGATGTAATCCATTATTGCACTTTAGTAAACAACATTGCAAAGAGGTGTTTAAACCAATTGAGCTGGAAATACTCTTTCTCATTTTCTTCCTCTAACTTTTACTTTTTTAACCTCAGCATTTTTATTTTTTACTCCTAAGTTTCCATTAACAGCAATAAAAGCTTTGAAACAGAAAAGTGTTTAGGCTTCCTAGGCTTCCTCCTCACACTGCCTCTCCATCCTAGAAGAAACACTGCCAGCCAATGTTTCTTTTTGTCTCAGAACAAAGGCACGACCACACCTCTGGTGGCCCTGTTCTCAAGGGAGTTTTTAGCGGTTCAGTCTGGTTGGAAGGCAGCATTAGCCTTCTGACCCTTGTACTACACAGTTACACAGGATAGATTGAGAAACAGAAGTGAGAAGACCTGAGGACTGGATCAAGAGAAGGAAGGAAGAGAGACAAAAACATAGACTGTGATTCAAAGAGCACAAACTGTTTGGTTTGGCCTGCAGACATGGCAGCTCAGCAACAGGAAATGTCAGCTTATTAAAGTCTTCACATGGCATCATCAGACGACAGGCATCAGCCCCCTTGGCAAGATTCCCAACATTACACTGAGGGGAGAAAAACAATACGAACTGATATTAATGACTAGGTTTCCCTTCTAAGTTAGGAGAGTTTACTAGGCTGGATGGCTTGGCAAGGAGCATTAATTTGATTGCCTTGGCAAGTGTAAGATGCGAAAGGAGATCTAACTTTGGTGCCAGCTGTGAATTCCAGTGATCACTGTTGGCTTATGCTATTGATGAGATGGGGGTAGCCTGGGCTGGAAATTACACAAACATCACAAAACTAAGCAGTACTAATTGACTTTAGCCCTTTGTAGGTATAAGAGAGAAGTGTTGCTTATTGGAGCTACTCAGGAGCCGCCATGGACCTATGGCTTTTTGGGGTGAGTTTCGAGAAAATACATTCATCAGGCTTGTCACACTGGTGAACGTGTCACTTGAGCTGTCATCCTCAAGAGTGAGTCACTTTGCTGTAAAAACTCCTGGCTATCAGCCTTTTTCCTGAGAAGGGGTAGATCCTACATACCTAAATCTCAGAGTCTGTGGAACTATTTTTGTATTGACAGAATTTTAGTTTTTTTCTTTCCCATGGGGCAGAAGAGGAACATCACCTCTGACACTACTTATATGGCACCGTGGTGTCCATTCCCCAGAAAGGAAGCACACATTGCAAAAGTGACACATTTGTAAGCTGCATGATACTATTGACTTTTCTGCCTGCTTTTGTTTCTCTTGGCACATTTGCTTTTCAGTTTCGCTACCCAGTGTCTATAGCCCCTGAAGTCTCACTGCTATTGAAACCCATAACCAAACATGAAATGAAGGAGCAAACAGACATCAATACAATCTGTCTTCACTACGAATTTTTATGATCTCCTGCAAACAACTTCCTCACTCATTGCGAAACACATGGCACCAAGACAGCAGACACACAGATTCACTCACCATTGAAGAGCTGGCTTTGCCTCCCCGCGTCCCTGATTGCATTCTTTAGTTCTCTTGGCTTCTGTCCCATTTCATCTCAACATCCTTGGGAATCCAAGTCAGGCAGATTTAAGTATCCAGAAATCCCACCGGGATTTGCTAGAGGTAGGTAGAAAGAAAAGGTGGGTATCTGTGGCTCAGTAGGGATTTGTAGCTGTAGTTTTACCCAAGGTGCATGTAGGGATCTGATGAGACACCCTGAACAATGGCCTAATTGTGAATTTCCCAAAGAGGCAACGTTGTACAAAGCTTTGGTTATGACTTTAAAATATAGTCTAGATGCTGGATGATACCTGACGACGTGGTTCTCTCCTCCAAGGGAAATATATTTCCTTTATTTAGCACAAACCCACTTGTCTACGGCTGCATTCTTAGTATCTTGATGACTACTATTATACCTTTACTCACATACCCACTGCTCTTTACTTGTTTATATACAGCGAGTGGTAAATTAAGGATATGTTAAAATGAGTGATTTATTTAATGGTATGAGTCATATTCCTTGTTTTTGATTCAGCCAACAGTAATTTTGTGACTCATACTTTATACGTGCAAGTCCTTATGTACAAGAGAAAAGAAGGTAAATTGAGAAATATCTGAATAGCTGTCGAGAAAGAGAGAGAGAGAGAATTATTTTCTAAAACTTAGTGGCTTTTTTCCATACTCACAGAACCTCTGCTAGTTTGCTGCAAACTCCATGGAGATCCTTATTCTCCCATATCCAAGATATAAAAAACCTGAGCAGCTAGAATCATATTGGAAAACATCTCTTGCTCTGAGCTGGGCAAAAGTTGGTATCTTTGATGATAAGTGAATAAAGTATTCCAACAAACATGTCCAAACGAGGTTGTGTCCCCTCCGGAATCTAAGCACGTTCTCTAGACATTATGCTTCTTTCTGGTACAGTAGAAGGGTGTAAGTGCAGCACCTTTTCTAGGGGAGCAATATTTTGTAAATCCCGTTATAACGGATCAATATATTACTGATTTTTCCTTTTGCTTCAGTCTCCTCAAGCAGCTGGAAGTCTTTTTTTTCTTTTTTGGTTTTTCTCCGGTACCTGGAACCGAACTCACGACCTTGCGCTTGCCAGGCAGGCGCTTTGCCGCTGAGCTAAATCCCCAGCCCCTGGAAGTCTGTTTCATTCACGCACTTGGAGGTCTTTTAGTAAAACCTGGACTAAATACTGATCTGCACTGCAAAACTTGTATGTGAAAAATTGCTTGGAATAGTATGATGAAAGGAATACATTTTGAAGAGACATGTTGTTATTCTGTGTGTGTATGCATATCTATGTGCATATTTTCTGTACAGATATACACCCACGTGCTGTTATCTAGAGAATGCTCTTTTTTTCTAAAACCACTGCACATGTAGCAGACTAGTCACATGATCATATCATAGGATTTGGCCCAGTTTACAATTTAATAAGAAAAAGCACTATTTTAGAAAACTTAGTTTCTGTCTTTAAGGACCAGTGAGGCTCCTCTTCTTTTTTTCTTTTTTTGCTGGACTAGAGATTGAACTCATGACCTTCCGCTTGCCAGGCAGGTGCTTATGCCACTGAGCTATATCCCCAGCCCCAGTGAGGATTCTCTTAATAATATTTTATGGGCCTTAACATTTTCACTATAAAACAGAAAGCTTAATCTATTTTTATTTTGCAAACTATTAAAAATTGAAGGAATTCCCATGACAGGATTCCCAGGATATTAAAAAGAATGGATAGCTAACCAACCAGGTTTCAATGCTAAAAAATAGCACATATATATTTTACAAGACAAATATTTGGACACTCTGATTCTAAATGAACTTACAGGAGCAATAAGAAATTCAAGCATAAAAATCAATGTTCAGGTGTGTGTGTGCACATGTGTGCTTTGAACCTGTCTCAGATCACTTAAGCCCTCTCATTCCATTCCACTGTTCCTGGAATTCCTTAGTAGGATGCCCCATGAACATATCGCTATCCTAGACCTCCACATTTCAAAGCTGAAGCCAGGCTCTCCCGCTACAGATGGATCACTCAGATCCAAAGTCCTCATTTGAAAACTTCTTCCCATAATTTTGAATTTAGGCTTACATTGGTTTATACCACTTCACTGTATCTAATAAGGTACTAGTTCATTTTTCTGTTGCCCACATAAGTGGATTTCTACAAAATACGTCATTCTCACTGTTCTGCTATTTAATCAATATTATCTTTTCCAACTTTACTTCCCCTCATTGTAGCTTTGTAATTGATCTATAGTTCTAGGAAAGTAAATTAACTTCCTCTGCTGGATCTTCAAGGAAATTCAATTACTTGTTCTCCTTTTCCTTTAATGTGACATCTTTCTTTGATCAAGAAACATGTCTGTTGTTTCTTACAATATTGGTGAGTCTTAGAGTGTTTATTTTCTTATCCTTCCTTGATTCTATCTGAAACACTGTTCCTCCTTGACTTGAATCTACTTAAGTTGTTTTCTTCTAACTTGGCATAGCTTTTGTCTACCCCTGACATCTAGTTGTACATCTGAGCTTGTTACATACATGTGGAAGTATTCCTAGGCCTTTTATATAATGTGCTATGTCTTCATTGTGAGGGAAGCACTTTCCTAAAAACAGATGTCTCCTATTTATTTCTGGACACTCTCATAATGTTTAAAGTAAAAAAAAAAAAAAAAATCAAACCTAACTATGCTACTCTAAGAATTATTAGTTGTAGTATTTAATGCAAAGTCCAGGGACTCCAGAATGTTCATATAGATGGGATTCACCAAATAAGTGATATCAGCCTCACCAAGATTATATTCTGCAACAAGAAGAATACTACGAATTACTGATTTATTCCCACAGTCACTTTATAGAAGAAGAACCTAAATCTAAGAAATCAAACTTGAATCTAAGAAATCTAAATCTTAGAAAACAAACTTGCTTGAAATGACTAGACTTTGGAATCTTATCCCTTTAAATTTTCAAATTTAGCTTCACATACTCTTGAGGATATAAAAATGAAAAATCTTCAAAAATTTATTTCCCTGCCTGTAGGCAGAATTTGTCATACAGATCCCAACAGATGCAACCCACTGTACCATTAAAGACTTCCCAGAAAAGGAATTTCATAACTTCCTTCAGTTTACTTTCACACAAATACAAAACCAGCCTTTCACAGAACCTGCATATTATACCATTCCTCTTTCTTTTATCTGAAATACACATACTTGCACACACACACACCATAGAGCCTTCTGCTTAGGAGATAATCAAATGAAAATTATAATTTATTCTAAATTGTTTTATTTGAATATGAAAATTAGTAACAACAGTATAAATTATCTTTGTTTTTGATACATTAAAATCTCAGATTAATAAAATCACAATAATCTATCATCTGTGTAACTATTAATATGGCATATTTATCATCTCTGTGGTGGTGTAATTGGAAATGAAAATCAATGCCTTCACTTATTCTCATTGTGAAATAACAGTAGGAAAGTTTCTGGGCAAATTCTAGCATCCCTAAGCCTTCTTAGGATTACAGAAGCCATTCATAGAATGAGTAGGAATCGAGCATGTTTATAACTTAAACTCAGTGCTGCCTGGTGTTCAGGAATCTATCTGTTTCTAAGTCCCCCAGGAAGTCTGCTCTTGCTCCAAAGCAAAAAGAAGTACTCTGAGTGATCTGTGCTTCCTCAGCTCAAGTGAAACTATTTTTAAATCATTCCTGTTTCCATCTCCAAATGTCTGTAGGACTGAGAAACAACAGAAAATATTGCAAATCATGGATAGGATTACAAACTCAATCTCCCAATACTATAATTCATCAAAATAGTGTTTCATAAAATAGATGGCTACTTGTGGGTACATTGATGTACCAAATCAATGGGCTGAGTCTAAAAATAGTAAACTATTTTTTTTGTTTTTCTTCAGCATGAATTATTACTTATATAACTGGGGGTAAAATGAACACATCAAGCAAGTGTGACTCTCAATACATATAGCTGAAGTGAAAAAAATAGACAATGGCAATTGGAAAGGAAGGTCTGAGAGAGATGGATGAAGCAAATCCCAGCTACTGTTTGGAAATAATCCAGATGACTGAGAATTAGAAAGATCAAAGGGAGAATTCAGGCTTGACCTGTAACGACTTTGGGAAAGGATGTGAAGCAAGCTGACCGCGTCACTGTCAGAAAGGATTGCTGAAATGTGGATGTAGGGCCAGGAAGTCGGATAAGAGAGTTGGCATGGATAGTTGGTTGAAAATAAAGTCACGTTCCCCTTCAGCAGGTTTCACACGCAAGGGAAAAGGTATGTGAGTAAAAATAAAGCATGCTTGCTCCTTTCAAGAGGAGACTCTTCTTTGAGAGCTCTGCCATCTGACTTCCTGAAGTCCTGACTTCCTTAGGAAACTGTGCAAGGTCTGTATTGTTGCATTTTGGAAGACTGTCCACACTTTGAAAACACTGTGACTGAATCGTGACTGAGCAATGGAGAGTGAATAGACAATCAGTCACATGGGGCTGCTCTTTTCCCAGGAGTTTCTCTTGTTAGGAGGCAGAAAAATAACTGTGTTCCTTTTTCATTGACACCATGATAGAGCAAGACAGTTGGCTGGACATAAGAGTGATACTTCTTTTAGCCATATGTCATTCTCATTATTTCAAACTGACTTTGGAAGGGGGCTGATGATTTGAAAAGGAGAGATGGAGAATGTTAGCAGGAAGAGCCAGTCTTCCTTGTCCTTGTTGTGTATGAGCTGAGAAGTCTTTTCCAAAAGAAAGGAAAAAGTCAAGGCCCCTTTCAGGGGCTGGCGATTTAGCTTGGCGGCACAATGCCTGCCCGGCAAGCACAAGGTCATGAGTTTGATCCCAGGTACCCGAAAACAAAACAAAAAAAAGCATTTTTTTTTTTTTTTTTGGTCTTCCCAGGCATTAGTCCCCTACCAAGTTGTATAGAGGATTAGTAGCAATGGAAAAGTTTGAGGTTGGGGGTGGTAGAGGGAGGAAATAACAATTTTTAGCATATTGGCAAAGACAGAGATGTACCAAATCAGGAAAGCAATGATTTCTTTGGGGCTTGAAAGTTAAGGGTCATTTTTTATATTGAAGCATGATTTTTTCATCAGATTTCTCAGAGTATTTTTGGGGTCTTTATTGGTCCATATGCCTCAGTTATCTGAATAAAACATGTAGAGATTTTCTCTTTGAAACTTAATGGAAGAGTGAATAAGGCCTTAGAACAACCATTCTCTCTAATGAAGTTTACTTTCCCAAGTGATCTATAAATTCAGTAGAAAGAAAATGATTTGATGAAACTTTGTATACGGCTGAACTTTTCATAAAGTAAAATAGAACATATTCTATCTCCTGCTTCATTTTGCTTTCTATACATTAGAATAGAAATAA